CGTATTTAAAGATTTTAAGAAAATAGGAATACATATGCTAGGTACCTATTTAGTATTTTTTACACAACGCAAATTATTGGAACTACCTCATATATACCATGATTTTTGGTCTTTGAACTCTTTATAATTATGATTTTGTTTTGATTTATCAGAAAAATATTATTCGGTGTGTAGATTAACATTTATACTATACTCTACAATAACTTAAACAAAATACCAATCAGCAATTACCAATAAACAATAATAGATAATCAATGTTTTATGTAATAAAAATAATAAATTGGATGCTCTATATGTATGAGTAGTAAACAGTATTTCACGAGCAAAGAAAAGAAGTATTAATTATTCCAATACTCTCAGATTTTTAGCTAATTTTATCTTATTGTGATCATGGTTTAGTGATTTAAGTATTTACTGTGATCTTAGAAAACTTTCCAAATAAAAAAAAAACCATAAATAAGCTGCTGGTTAAGGCATTGAAAAATTCCAAGAAAAAAAAAGAAAACATTGTGTATTGATTAATTAAAATTTAAATGTACCCTTTACAGTTGAAAACAATACAATTGGTAATTAACGAGGTAATTCTCCGTATACACGAAATTAATAAAATGCTTGCAATTCGTAATTGTAGGTAATAATACAATATTTAAATAATTGAATACACATCACCCTGTAATAATGGAGTATGCATAGTATCATTTTCCAAAAGTAATAATTTTTCAAATGTTATACGAGTTATGTTAACGATATAACTATTGAAAAACCTGTGAAATGCCAATGTGTTACATACTTATATCATTCGGTATAGCCGGTAACTGTGTGTATGTAATAATACAAACGTAAAAAACTAGATAGGTAATAAGGTCAACCATTGGCGTCAAAACAATAATAATAACATTAAACCATATTTTTGGGGCTAATAATTCAATTGGATTTTTTGATTTTAAACACTTTTGTATAATCACGCCCGTTTATTCGGCAGTAAATTTCAATGGGGCTTTTTAGGATTTTTTCATATAATATATAGCTCTGTAGTCCCATAGTAACGACTAACGAGTATGCATACAGACATATTATACCTACATTCTTCAATTCTTGGGCCATCCAGACAAAAGCTCGCCATTGATGTTCGAGGTCATTATCAGACTGTAAGTATTATGAAGAAATATATTGATTCTATCACTACATTAACAGTTATTACATAAATTAATAGTTTGCGTTTAACAATGGTTTAGTTTCAACAGTTTGTTTCCAAAGAATCAGGTTTATTTGCAACTTACAAACGCATTACGTATAGGTACCTAATATATATATACATTTATGTCACAATAAATTGTTCTACACAAAGTGTAGTACATAATTTTTTACTGCAAAATCAGTAGGATAAAACATTTCCCGTAATATAGAGTACTGTCGAACTTCAATATTAGGATTATTTTCCTTGCTAAGAGTTTTTAACATACACCATGATTTTAATGTTTGTTATTACATTTAATGATATAGAATTCAGGTATTGTAACTATATTATAATAATAATGTACAATTTCAAATAAATATCTTATCTAATCTGCCGGCCTTTGTGCGCTAGATTTTCTGTTTTTTTTTTTTGTTTGACAGGTATGTGTGTATATGTTATAACTTTTATACATACTATGTTATAATAATATAATAATGTATTTGTACTAATTAGCTATTAAGGCACAGCCACCAGCCAGACAAGGCATTTATCTAATAAGGCAATAACACGATCTACAATAACGAAACTATTTCATGACGAATGTATGGGCATTTTGCGTCATTCACAATCGCAATGGAATAACAATTTTAATGAAAACAAAATTCCGATTTGATATTATTGTATTTTTTCAAGTATACGCATATTAATACGGACGTCAAGAAAAAAGTAAAAAATATATAGGTATTATTTTATGGACAGGAGGGAGGTGACAAATATAAACATTTTAAGAGGATCATACACCCGCATTTTGTTGCTCCGACCTAACATGGCAAATTGACTAATACATATTAAAATTAACGATACGACAAAAGTGCACTTTAGAACTCCCAACGTAAATTGTCTATGCCACGTGACCCACCCACGTGCTCACACAACAAATGTGGATGCAGTGGCGTCCTCTAAACTAATCTCAGTGTTTTTTTTAAGAGGACACGAATATTTTTAAATACCCTCTGCTTCAGTAGCTTTTAGAAGTGTGAAAAATATAATATTGGATTAGGTACCGTCCATTCTCCATTGACAAAACTCCAGTACAATCCCAGTGGACTTAAGAGGGCCTGCCTATGTAAGTGTCGTCTCCATTTACGAACGTATGGCCTGCCACATTTTTGTTCAACAGAGTCGATTGCGTTTTGTTAGTTTTAGTATAAGAATTAATTAACCTATCATAAAAGTTAAAAGCAAGAACATTATTTGTTGGATTTTTTGATAGTTGAATTTTTAAGCTGGATATGAGCATTTTTAATTTTTGACATATTACTAACCTTATTCATAGCATACGAATTAAAATATCGAAAAAAGGTGACACTTAAACACAGATAATGTTCTTACATTTAAAGTCAATTATAACTTTTATGTATAAACTAACAATACACAATCGGTTCTGATGAATGAAAATGTGCAATGCCATTAGACGGAGATAACTACACATACATGGGTAGCAGCATCCTCTCGAGTTTTTAATTTTACATTTAAAAGGGTTAAAACAGCATACTTTTAAAATATGAAAAGTAGAATTACGTAGGAACCAAATCCTTCTCCTAATTATCATATAATTTATACTTACATTAACCACAATAAATATTATAACCATATAGTATTGAAAGTTAGCGAGAACAGTAATTATAAGGGTAAGCGGTCATTATCGCCGGTTGTCTTTTGTGCATAATTATTGTTAATTTTGACCCTTTTTGTAAGACAATTGCGCATCGTATAACATTATATATAACATAATATATTTTTTACATTCTTTTGTTATTCAGAATATTGATGTGCATTTGATGTACTTACGATAATTTGGTGCAGGTAAACAAACGATGCGCAAATGTTATAAGGCCGTAATTATTGTCATTTTTACTATTTTTAAAATTATTTTCTTACAATAGGATATAATTACTGTATGGCACTATATGCCGGTACCATTATAGATGCTTACGCAGTGTGCGCTGAATAAAATGTTGTTTAATATATACATTAACGTTGTTTAAGTTGTTAGTTGAAAATAACAAATACCTGATAAATAAAAAGATGGATGTACAATAAACGAGTAATAATATGTCTAATATACATTGTAGTTGATAAAATAGAAGCATTATTAATAACCGGGCAGCATAATTATTCCAAACCGTAATAATTTGATAAAAATATATGGTTGTAAATGAATATCAAAAGCTATAAATAAATAAAATAAATGTATTTACCTTTAAATTTGAATTATGCTAGAGGAACAATTATAATGTATACGTAAAATGAATCAACAAGTAGGTATAGTTCGAGTTTTCTTATTGATCGAGTTCTTGTACCTTATTAGTTTGATTGTTTGCACGCAACTATACACTCGTGTTCGTATCATGAACTGGTCATTCAGTCTGATCATGTTTTTATCGAATCTGTAGGCAGGTACCTACACCAATTTTATAACATTTATAAATTATACAAGTAGGTACGCTACCTACCACTTGATAAATGTCAAATATATAAATTATACGCATCACATTTAAACTATTTCAAATACGTATGATATTTTTAATATAAAAAACAAATTTTTATTATAATAGTTTAATTGTTTTGTTTCATGAATTTATTATTATTATAATAGTAATAAATAATTGAATTATATTCTCTCTTACAAAGAAGTTTTTATTTTTTACGTATTTTGGCACCTAAATAATATTGAGTTAAATATTTAAATGTATCGTTATGTTGATTACATTTTTAATTTAAGCGTTTTTCCTCAAGTTTAATTGGCTCTAGCAAAATAATTAATTAACTTTTAAGATGCAATCTTTAAATAAAAAATATTTGAAGTAAGATCACTTATATCATTAAAAATGTATAATACCACTGAAATGTTTTTATTTGTGTTAGAAATGTATCTACAAATTTCAATAACAAATCTCTAAGATATAAAGAGCATCTACATGAAATGTACTGCACTCTATATATTGCATCTCACAAATTGCAGAATCAAGCATGTAATCATATAAAAATAATAATATTAATATCATATTATGATCATGTACATATTCATATATTTATATTACGATATTGCAAGAACGGTTGTAAGTCGTATATGTATTGATTTTTGATAACACCGATAGAAAAGAGATCAACAATTGCACTGCAATAATTATAGCAGTTGCAGACCTATGGTCCGTGATCAGTGCACCATTAATTAGGTAAGTGTTAATATCGGCGCAGCACGTGTATGCATTTTATTTATTTGCCTGCACTATATCCCAAACTATGTTGTTTGGGCTAGGTTGGTACCTAAAATTGTTATGAGTTTGGGTACTAAGATACGAAATTATAAGAAAAATACTATATAAACTATAAACCATGGTTAAATAACTTGGTTTTATTAGGTAGTTTTTAAAGATATTATATAATAAATATATATTATGATTGTATACAATATACATACTATATATTATTATAAAGAGTTAAAGTTTTTGAGGTCGTAGGGGTAATCTGTGGATCTACTGAACCGATTTTGAAAATTCTTTTACCAATATAAAACTTCATTATTTGTGTAATGTATAAGTGCAATAGGCTATGGATGACCAATCTGCGGCCCGCGACATTTATCAAATATTTACAACAAAAAAATTATTTTTGCGCCGATAGAATATTTTGGTATGTCCAACGCGGTATCTGTATTATTAACAACGTAATCGCAACAAAAGTAATAATTCTAATCTAATCTGATAAAAATATATACGAGTAGACACCAGCTTGTAGCAAATTGTATTGTTAAAATAAAACGTGGCTAATAACAGTCATAATCTATGCGTTCGCTGTGAATGTTGAGTGCGTTCAGTGTGGAAAAGTACGTACTTTTTTTATTATTTTATTATTTATTTTAAATATGAGTGGTGCAAAAAAGAAAAATAGTAGAAGAAAATAGATAGTACAGTGAGGAGTGGGAAGAAAAGTACTTCTTTATAATTCAAAACACAACATTAATGTGTTTGATTTGCCGAGAAACAGTCGCTGTATTTAAAGAATATAACTTTAAAAGGCATTATGAAACAAAACATAATTATTATTTGAAATTTAGTAGTGAAGTGAAACAATTGAAGCTCAGGGAGTTTATGTCACAATTGAAAATTCAATAAAAAAATGTTTGGTTCAGCATTAAAGCGACCATCTGATATCGTTATTCTGTCTCATTTTTGATTGCAAAAAAAAATAAAAAATTTTCAGATGGTGGATTTGTGAAAGAATGTTTGGAAGCTGTAGCAAAGGATATTTCACCCGATGAGAATAAACTATTTTCAAATAAAAGTTTATCCCGACAAACAGTATGTCGTCGAATTAATGACATTTCAAACGAAATTATTGTAAAACTACGCGATCGAATTCAAGATTTCAAATATTTTTCTATTGCATTTGACGAAAGTACAGATATATCAGATACAGCTCAACTTGTAATATTCGTTCGTGGAGTAAATGAATCATTTTAAATAACTGAAGAAATGTTAAAATTGATAAGTTTGAAAGGAACTACAAAAGGTGAAGATATTTTTCACGCTGTTGAAAACAGTTTATGCGAAAACAATTTGGATTTGGAAATTATTTCTGGAATATCAACTGATGGTGCACCTGCTATGGTTGGTAAAGAAAAAGGAGCTATAAAATTACTGATCGATAAAATAGAATCTACCAGAAAAACTAATAATTTTTGGAAAAGAGATGATTTATTTATAATCCATTGTTTGATTCACAACAAAATCTATGTTCTCGAGCATTATCGATGAACCATGTTATGCAAGTAGTCATAAAAACAGTGAATTACATTCGATCACATGCGCGTCCCCACCGACAATTTAAGGAGTTCCTGAAAGAATTGGATTCAGAATATGGTGACGTAGAATATTTCAGTCATGTCAAATGGTTAAGCGGTGGAAAATGTTTAAAGCGATTTTATGAGTTACTTCATGAAATTGACTTGTTTATGAATGATAAACAAAAACCAGTATTAGAATTAAGTAATGACGAATGGTTATTAGATTTATGCTTTTTAGTGGATATTGTCGAAAAACTGAACCAATTAAATATATCATTACAGGGAAAAGATAATTTAATAATTGACTCGTGTAATTACATCAATGCATTTCAGAAGAAATTATTGTTATATGAATTTCAATTCAAAAATAATAACGTTCAACACTTTCCATTGCTAAACGAATTGAAAATTTCAAAACATATCGATAGCATTAAATATGCACAAGAAATAAGGAAACTTATAGCTGCTTTTGAAAGTCGTTTCACTAATTTAGACAAATACAAGACAATATTTGAAATATATTCATCTCCTTTTCATACTGATGTCAATTCGGCCCCAGAATATCTTCAAATGGAACTCATTGACTTACAATGCTGCAATAATGAATTAAAACACATTTTTGAAGCATCAAAATCAAAAATAGATTTTTATAATATTAATATCACAAAAAATTTTTTTCCCAATTTGAGAAATCTGGCACAAAAAGTTGTGAGTGCCTTTGGATCGACTTACACTTGTGAATCGTTTTTTTCGAAAATGAAATTCGCCAAAGATAAATCACGCTCAAACTTAACAGATGAAAACCTGCAATATCAATTATGGTGTGCAAATACAAGCATTTCTATTGATTTAAAAAAGCTTAGTGAACGAGTTGAGAAGCAAATATCTCACTAAATAGTAATGTTTACTCCATTTTTTTTGTATTAAATACTTTTATTATTTTATATGTGGCCTAATTTTGAATAAAAAAATATGTGATTATATTAATATTTTGGCTGATGACCTTTTTTTTTTGCAACCCTATATGTGGCCCGCAGGATTGTAATGTATTTACAAAGTGGCCCGCAAGATCATTTGGGTTGGTCATCCCTGGGCTATATTTTAACCTGAAAAATGAAAATACTTTTTCGTGTAGTCAGATTTGCACAGTAAGTCGGAAAAAAAACACTCGAACGCAATTGTTTCTTACGAACGCAGTCTTAACGATGAGATATATATTATTGAGTTCTATAAAAAAGTTGTAGCGTTTGATAATGCCTACAAAAAAGTTAGCTACAGCATATGTCTAACTTTTATATTTAAAAGTAACAAAACTAATTATATAGATAAAAATGAATCCCTATTTTTCTTGATCACGGCATCACTCGTGAACGGCTGGACTGATTTCATTATTTTTTTGTTACATTTGTTATTGTCAGGAGAAGCTTTATATGAAAGAAAAAATTAAGACAGTTGCACGGAAAATTAGGTATTAATTAAAATAAACGTGCAAATTGTACATATATTGAAAGGTTAGGTTTTCCTAAGAGAGTTTTCAGTTACCTGCAACTTGACCTTTTGTCTGTCAAATGTAAAAAATCGGCGTGTAGATATGAATTGTTCCGAGAAATGAATTTCGACAACCTATTCTTAATTTTTTAGTAGAAATTAGTATTTCTTTTGTTTTTTGGTTGCCATTGGTTAATCGGACGATCAGGTACATAAGCAAGCATCAAATCAAATTTATGCAAATTGCCTACCAAGGTGTCTGAGTTGAACTTATAACCGCTCGTCGGCGTGTCCACAATCAAAATAAAAAAATAAAACATATTAGTCTTATAGATTATGCACCTAGGTGAATTGTCTACTTGATAATATACTGTTCGCATTATCACGAGCGAGTCTCATATAGATTTGACATTTTTAACGGGCAACGAAGTGCACGGGATCAATTACAAATAATATAAACATATAGTTCATACGAAGTATGAACTTATGAATTCAATGATAAATAATCGGATACGGAAAACGATTCTGACCGAAGAAGGTCAAGTCATCCAACTATATTACTAATTACCTATAAGTAGGTATATTTTATGATATATTTGTGTGGCAATCGAAAAAAAATCCCCAAAGCAACTATTTAGTACTTATTTAAATTATAATAGTAAAAAAAATATTATTATGTATTATTATATATAATAATTAATAAAAATTATTTATGAAAAAATAATAAAAATAATAAGGTGCAACTTGAAAACACTTGAAAACAAATAAAGGTTATTATGGCATTCAGTACCTCTACACACATATATATATTATATTTCATTCTTCAATATTTTATCACAAGTACATTTTATATCTATATACGCATTATATAATATATAAACCAATGTGAACCAATTAGACGTACAAAATCAAACAGAAACGGTAAACACCCGCTTTAAAGAGTTAGTTATAAGACAAAGTGAAGATAAATAAAATTAAGCATTGGAGACTTTTGACAGCTATGTCTAAAATTGTAAGAAAACGAACCAATTGAACCGAACCTGACTATAATTTTATTATAATTATTATATATATATTTTTTTTTTTTGGCGCACTAACTAATATTATATTATATTATAGTATTATAATTACCTGTATATTTTTTTTTTATAATTTTTAAGATTTAAAAACTAAATGATTGATTTGGTGATTTTTTCTCGGGATTCATTTAGGCATGTCCTATTCTATACTCCTACTCTGTCCTACCATATTGTGTAACAATGATAATATAAACATTAGGTGAACATTTCAACTTTCAAGTATCTATGGTAATTCGTTTTGAGCTACACGAAAAAAACTAAATTGTTTTGGTTGAAAATAGGAGTTACAGGTTTTGCGTAAAAATTCCCGTTTTCACTTTTCCCTGCTATTAAACTCCGGTTTTCCTTTTTTTTGGTGATAATGAAAAGTATATTGGAAATTTTATAATGACCACTGTCCACTAGTATCAGCAAATGCTTTGAAATTATCATTTTAATGTACCTATTTAGTTATGTACACAATATATAGTTATTACTTAATACGCTGCTCTGACCTTGATTACTTTAAGAAGTGCACTATATATTGTTAAACCAACTTATTATATTTTTGACTATTTTCATTACTCAAGTGCCATAATCACACTTTGGTACCATATTAAGTATACTTCAAACGTATTGTCAACACACTACCAATTAACTCAATTAACTATTTCACGATACCTAGCTGCTAAATAAATAAACATCCTAAATGGCTATATGGATGATAGGTAGTATCGAGCCGCCTATTAAAACCACGAGACAATAGAGAACTCGGAAAACAAGTTATTGTCTATTGATAATATTCATTGTGCACTAAAATCGCAATCAAAAGTTGCCGACTGCCTATGTATAACTGTATAAGTAAACCTGTCATCGTGTGCAGGTGGTTAATACAATGACAAGTCACTAGTCAGCTAGAACAGACTCTGTCCACGTTTGCTGCCTCAAATCCTTATAATATTATTGTATTACCACAGAATAAATGAAATTAATTTATTAAATTTCATTTAGGTATTCTGTGGTATTACTATAACACCACTGATGGTTGTCTCTATAAACCTGTTGGGCTCTATCATTTTTGATCATCTTTCAGCTACGTGCACGTGGCCCTTGTTAATTTCCATGGAGCACGTGATACAACGGCGGTTTTAAAAGTACCTACCTACAGCAGTTGAAGCGGCAACACAACGTTCAGGCAAATGTATAATATTTTGGTACCTACCTACGTGTCAAGATGATATTATAATCGTTGAGATTTGAAATGCCGTGCTATACATTTTTCGTTGAACTTCTATATCGTATCAATTTAGAGCTTGGATTATACTAATTAGTTAATTTGATCCGTAGGTATGTGTTGTACATACCTATATACGATTATTGTGATAACGTAGACCATGAGTTTTCTGTTTTGATTTCATTATACCATAATAACTCAATTAAAACAATCTGCAGAAAAATAAAATTCATAATTAGTATAGGTACTCATTACTTAAAATGGTGCGAATAGTCATTGCGCAACACTAGACGTGTACAATAGGTACATATATGATTTTTTTAATCCTCTTTCAATAACCTCTAAATCCCATTAAGTCAACCAAGCTTCCGTAGTGAATATTAATCCGTTTTTAAATCAAAAATGGTTTGTTTCTCTTAAAGTTTTCATTTCTTATATTGTTCTTAAACGTTAGAACTTTTTTTATCCAATTTTTATTCATTTTATAAAAGTTTTAAATTTTAAACATTTTATACCCCTGAATTATCATACCAAATAAAATTGAAAATGTCAACCTTTCTCTCTGTAGTGTTTCTGTCCTCGTGTAACAGTTGGAGATCTACCAAGCACTTATGTTCAAGTAAAGCTGTAAAGAGATTTAATTTTAATTTCAATTTCAATAATAAAAATCTGTCAAGTAGGTAGGTAATTACTTTGCTGTCAGCATGGGTGTCCACTGTCCAGTTACCTCATCATTGCAGAGTAATGAATGTGTTAAATTTGAATTACATTATAAATTATTGTGCATGATGAAAAACGATTCTAGGCTATGACGGTCTTAATTGTTTGTAATTCAGGTTACATAACAATCATTTTAACAATAATTAACATTTTAATAACTAATGTTCATATAAGATTCTGAGCAGAGCAATAAAGCATTATATAGCGGTTGGAGGATTGGGGTTCGAACCCCTCCGAAACCTAGGTATATCGTATACATTTATTATATTAAAATAATAATATAATTATGTATTTTTAGTTCATGTATTAAAAATATTTAAAACCCAATTCCAATCAGGGAATCAGTTTTTTGGCGGAAAAAATGCATGCTCATGTAAGGCCCCTATTCCCTAATAATATGTATAACTTATATATGTATATATTTTTAATCAAAAGTTAACGGTTAATTTATTGTATTATTATTATCAGAGTGGATTTAAAAATTTATAAATCCACTTTTACTAATAAATATTATATTCTTTTAAGTTTTAGTATATATTATAGTTTAACAATTATTATTCATAGGTATTGCTGTCAAACTAGTCTCCCGAAAAAATAACCTCTTACCACCCCATAAGTCCACTCCCAACACTATCTACATCATTCGAAAAAATTCTAAAAAAGGCTCATTCCTCTAGATTCCATGGCAAAAACTATTCCAGATACATAATTTGGCTTCAGACCACTCACCAACTCCATAGAGTAATTGACACTATATCATCATCACCCGAGAAAAAACACTACTGCGCTGCTGTCTTTCTGTATAATTGCTATTTTTAATCTAATAAGAAAAATAATGAATGTTTATTTCATTGCCTAATAATCTATCAGAGTTTTTATACTATTTGGATTACCTATATCTAACAGTCATAATCCAATAAATAATTATCTTGTAAATGTGATTTTTCAACATAATATGGTGTAAATAGTAAATTAATTTCCTATTTGATTTTATTATATATCATATATTAATAAGTTTAAGATAACTTATTTTAATAATCGGCTTAAAAGGTAGAAAGACAATTAAAATGATTATATCAAATAAATAATTGGTTCACAAAAATGTAAATTGACAAGTGTTAAGAATAAGCCCGGTGTATTCCTTAATCTGGTGTGAATAAATAATTAATGATGAAAAAAAACATGTGATATGCGTATGTTATTAATACTTTTATTGTATAGAAATTCTAAACTTCTACTTACAAATTTACAATTTACTGAAGTCATGTGAATATGGACATCACTTACAGAATAACACATCTTTGATTAAGCTCGCTTTGAAATGATTTGTTGATAACAATTAAATAGTTATTTCAACATTTTTTTAGCTAAATATATGAAGAAATCAATGACAAAAGAGACAATACTTTAGAGTTAAGTAAATTTTAATAAAAACATTACATTTGAGTGATATTCATATTTGACTTAAATATACAACAAACTATAAATTAACCAAAACTGTTGTACAGTTATGTCTTATACTATTTTAGCACAGCAGAACATGTTTATACATATTATAAAGGATCCTCTAAAGAGAAGGCAGTGACACTTTATTAGTAGGCAGTGCAATAGTTGACAATAATACACCAATGTCTTGTAAAAAATCTTCATATTTCTATCATATAATTTTAGGAGCTATGAAATGCACTTCTATACTTCATCATCGATTATATCAAATGAACCTTCACGGTTACTTTTAACTTTCATGATTTTTCCTTTGGTCACTTTTGCCCAACCTTGAACAGCATCTCTGTTTAATATCCATTCAGGTGACACAGCCGTTTCAGAAGCACGCTGTAGTATGACTTCATCACTGGTATTTTTAAGATGACGTTTTCTCTTTATCTCAGTTGTGGGTTCATCTAATGAAGAGTTGAGTAATTTAGCTGATCCATTGAATAAATGAATACCTCTTGATTCATCAGTATTGTCTATTTTGAGTTTTTTATGTTTTTTCTTTTTTTCAATTATTTCACTAAAAAAAGATTAAAATACAATACTAATTATATTATATTAAACACACAGGGCTCTACAATAAAAAAAATATTTTAGAAGTATAAGGTATAACACACATGGGAAACTTGAAATTATTGGCATCAAACACACTCAACGTGTAAGTTTTGATGTTTTGTTGAGGTTACTTTTAGAATGCCATAAGAAATTATATTTCAGTAATCGTTCATTAGGCAATCTACCAGACTGCAGGATTTATTTATATTTTAAATGGTGAACTACTAGGTAACAAGATGTTTTAACCCATGGACTACACATTTTTTCTTCTAAAGTTGATCTCTGTATCAGTTTACCAAAATAATTATGGAATGAATTAGTTTTATTATTTTTTAAGCTAAAACTGATTTTTGGGTTTGAATAATTCCATACAATTCTTCAATTACCGACATTTTGTTTAACATGCACAATGAACCAACGAATAAACACCACACACTAATAATTATTGTTAATAATGCATAAAATACTACTATCACAGAATTAAAATATAATTTTTTATTTAACTTCTTGCAGCATTGGCTATTGGGATTCTAGTTATATTATAGAAAATTGTCTTAAATTCTAATATTTATTATTTGCATATTATATTTTACATTAATTACAATATTTTACAATTTATTTTGAAGATTCTACTTTGTGATGTATTCTAAATTATATTGCTTAGTATTTTTATGTATTCAGTGATATTATTGGCAAACAGAATAAACAGAATAAGGTAGAATGACAGTTTTCTATTTAAAAATCCAATAATTATATAATATGATTATGAAAAGAATCAAGCACACATAATCCGCACACCAAATACAAATAATTATTAATTATTGTCACTACGAACAGATTTTGCCTAGTGGCATCATGTATATTGAATGAACACTTATATTTCCTACATATTAGAGACTTTAGTTAGTTACAAGAGTTTATTAACTTTATTTTGCGTTACATTTTACCTTTCTAAATGTTTGAATAAGCTTTTAGCAACAAATTCTTGAAATTCTGGAGTCACCTTGATAAAATTGTGATTATGTCCATCGTCTTCGATAATATGTCTAAGAGATGGTTTAATTTGTACTGTGTTGATACCTAAAATAAAAAGTTATTGTATTAGCAGTTTATCTATTAGTTAGGATAGTTACTTAAATACTTATCAGAATAGCCAGGAACATTTGTATATTCAATTTCAATAATTTAAATTAATCTGAGTAAGATGCACAATTGTTCATAGCATAGTTCCACAAGGTCAAATTGTATATTTTTATATTTTAATACCTTTTTTATTCTAAACATATTTACTAATATTCTAAGTGGTATTAATGAATAATTATTTTTAAATTGAAATCATTAAATGTTGGAAAAAACAATTACCTATTTTATTGATAACTTAACAAAATATCTAAAATATCAATAACATATACATAAATAGCAGATGTTCCATAGACAAGTCTGCCCAGCGACTATTAACTTCTTCAAAAAGAAATCATAACAATATTATAATTTCTAGTTTCTTTTAAAAATAAAAGAATAAAATCAAAAATACAAGAAAATTCAAACATATTTTCAGAATTCTTAATGCTTCACTAGATTCATAATTGTACTTTTGGAATGTAAACAAATCTAAGCTCCTTCAACAAAATTATGATATGAAATAAAATCTCAAGTTATTTTTTTTAAAAACACATTTGCTAATTGTACATGAAACAAAGATTGTACCAACATTTTTCTATTTAAAATAAAATAATTTTGATTCAATGTGAACAAATTATTGTTTTATATTACCATATTTTTTTTTTAAATTTATACACTGAGTTTCTGTACTTTACAGTTACTTTAAAAAACAAAACTAACACTCACTTTTAATTTTGTCTAAGGACTTCTTGCTGGGGTTGCTGCTATATAAATCGTTAGTTAGTAGATCAGTGTCAATTGAGTCTTTAAGTATCCGCTTTGTGATCTCATCTTCCGACGACGAATCATCCGACATGGCGCTGACGTCTGAAAGGAGCAAAATAGAATCATTACCACCGGATTGACAGTTATCATTCTCATAAGCAAGACGTTTTAAATTTTAAAACACTGCTCAAACAAACGTCACAAGGTAATTTTACGAAATAACTTTTTTCCAATGATTATAGTACCTATGTTTCGTTCTTCGTTCGAATTAGCATTCCTCACGTCGCGCTTCAAGCAGCGTTCTTGGTTTTCCACTGTTTAAAGATAGTTCGGTTCTCCATAATTCAAACGTTATCAGATTATCAGACAATAATAATTTATTCTGGTGGTATCACAAAAGTACCGCTGTTGATAAGGATATATACGTGGTAACAACAGCAATAATGATAATAAATAATAATATTGTTACACTTTATTATTATTATGATGTACGTGGTCAAACGTACGTTCGAGTTCAAATAATATATAAATTTACAATATAAATTATCATTATTAATATGTTCTATAGTAATGTCGTCATAAATTACACCTAGAACATATTTACTCTTATTTACTCTTTTAAGTCTGGACTTCTGGAGTTGTGAATCGAACGCTCATCCAACTTCTGTTTTGATAAAATGTTTTTTATTCAGACCCTGTCAGTACTCGCGCTGTATTTTTGCGCATGTCGTGCTACACAATCTAAAGGAATAGTTTCTTTAGACTCGTTGACTTTCGATAAGGTAATCAGACTGAATGTTTTTTTTTTGGGGGGGTGTAGTTGTTGCTGATATCTGAACAGCATATTAATATTATACAATAGTGTTTAGTTACAGTTTCTCTGTCAATAGGTTCTTTCAAAATTTAAAGTATCAATCGTGAAATTTGATGTATCATACCCATATGGCGAAAAACACGAAGAATTTGTAAAGTTGGGTTCTGCTTATCAATCAGTAGAAGATTTGCTCGTTGCTGAAGTACCTGTGAAAGATTATGGAGAAAAAGATAATGAAGATTTGGCCATCAGGTTTGATAGATTTATCTGTTTATAAAAAATTACTGTGTACTTATTCATTTTTTTGTCATCAAGGTATGGTGTGTCAAAAAAAGATTACCCAATCGTTAAGTTGTTTGTGAGTGGCCAGTCTGAGCCATATGTGTTTAACGATGAAGATTTTAACCAGGAAAAATTACAAAAATTTGTGGTTAAACATAGCAAAGAAATCTTGTACATTGGACTTCCAGGTACATTAGAAAAGTTTGATGGTTTAGCATCAGAATTCGCCAAGGAAAAATCAGTGGATAAACGCAAAGATATATTGTTGAGAGCTGAGAAATTGTGGGACAGCAGCGAGGGCAAGCAAAAGCAAAAGTCAGCCGAGGTGTACGTGAAGAGTATGAGAAAAGCTTTAGAAAAGGGTGACGAGTTTTTCCACACAGAAACTGTTCGCATCAACAATGTGCTTAAGGGTTCAATGACCCAAGAGAAAAAAGCAGACTTGAGTGTTCGTTTAAACATTTTGGAATCATTCAAAGTACAGCATGACGAGCTGTAAACTTTTTTTGTTTGATATGCTACTTATTTAAATAAGGTATTTTTGGGGGTTGTTATATTTTTGTAAACTATTTTTATAATCACTTCAATGATCAATGATAAACATCAAGTGAAGAACAATTATAATTCAATTATGTATGAATTATTCACAATATAAAACAAAATTCACTCATACTTGTTAATAGTTAATAAAATATTTTAAATTTTATGAACATATTAGTTTATTTTTGGAAATTTCCTACAGTGCATGTTAAAATTTAATTACTAATTTATTTTAGTTATTCAATGAAATGTATTTACATTTTTTCTCACAAGTTTAAAAATTGTAATCAAATTTGATTCTTTTTTAATACTTTACTGAAATAAAACAGGTTGTTTTTTTAAACATGACTACAATGCAGTTATAATTCAACATAAATTTAATAAAATTAATCAAACTTATTATTATACAAATTATACAAGATTTGAAAACAAACTTATTAATTTCTAAAAACTTTGATTGTACTCAAACAAATGTAGCACAATTCATAGGTGGGTGTTTTTACTTATTGGTTTTATATCATGCCAAACCCTTCAGCATAATTGATAGCTTTTGATAGTCGCTCATCAAGTTTCTCTTTACTGCTGTATTCAGGTAACAATAAGACGTTGAAACAGGTATGTGCGGTAGGTAGCCTGTACGACAAGGCAATGATTGATTTTAATATGCATAAAAGGGGAATAATGTGATACTATGTTTTATTGAATGCATACCTGTCAGAATCTGAACCATTTCTTGTGATGGTCAGTTTTAATTTTCCAAGGCCACCAACAGGAACTCTATCACTTCCCGTTGTGAATTGTAGTAACTTCTGCTGAGAGACTCTAGGTAGTGAATGGGCAAAATCCCAGAAATTTTTAATAACTTGTGTTTCTTTGTGATATCCGCCTTCATAAAGTGTGGTTTCTTCTAACTCGGACATATCAAATACCTGAAAAACCATTTTTAGAACTGACATCTAAGAAAAAACAGTAATGTAATCTTACTTTACTGCCACACACTATCTGCTCAAGTTCTTCAGGCCAGAATAAGTATTGTAATGGAGATTCTTCCATAACATTTTGGAATCCACGGTAGAATGCATTGAACTGTACTCCAATTGATTCATTTAGTAAAAAGTCTGCATATTTATCCACAAATTCCTAAAATAGTGCATCAAAAATATTTTCAACAATTTCATAGAATGATACACCAATAGGTCCTTACTCTTTTATTTATATGGTTTACAGTTATATTATCTCCATTATCTATGAGGTCATGATATACTATTTCACCAAAAGCATCTTTGTAGCATATTCTAAATGTCTGCATGAACATTTCTTCAATGTCATCTTCTTCATAATCCAACAAATTCTTTAAACCATTGTACAATTCCTGTGTAAAAAAAATGTATATTATCTGGGACACCATATGATACATAAAACATTACAAGCTTCTACCTGATTCCAATCTTGTAGATCGTTGAATGTGCATCGTTTACCCAGTAACTTCCGATACACAACCATTGGTAAATTAATGTTCAATATGACATTGTTGTAGATCGCTAATCCAACTATTAGGCCAATCAATGAATATTGTGCAGCAGTTTCAAACGAAAACGAATTAAACCAATAAGTAGGGTTTCCACTATCAGAGTTCATAATCACAAACATGCCTAAAATAATATAAGAATTATAAAAAATATTAATTAACATATGATTTATGATCCACTAACATAAAAATTAAATAATATGGTTGTGGAAAATATTTACCATAGTCTGGGTTAAATAATTCCTCGACAATGAGATGGAAGAATTCTTTCGAGACTCCACCCTCATCAACACCTTGTTCACCGTCAAACTCAACCGCCAATTGTTTTTTGAGATCTGACGGATTTTGCATTGCTACCATTTCAAGCTGAATAAGAAAAATCAAATATAAATATAAATATACCAACTGTAAAAGAAGTATGTTAATTATATTTACTTCAACTAGAGCGTCCTGGACAACATGTTCCCTTCTTACTTTAAGTTTGAGGTAAGGATGAGTTGGCTGACCTATTAAGGTTTGTATGAGACAAAAACGTCTATTTTCATACATTCGTATTCGATTATCATAGTATAGCCCAAGAGTTTTGGTGGCCGGAGTAAGTACAAATGAATGGGACATATACGAAAATTTATCATTGCCATTTTCTCTCCAAGTTTGGTAGTCGTCATCCATTTCTAGTGCATCACTCAACAACTCATTGTAAAATTTGGATATAGGAATTAAAGGCGCACGACAAGCCAAAATATTTATCTAAAACAAATATTGGATCAACTCAAATCAAAATATTTAAATTCAATTCTATACTTACATTTAAAATTTCAGCTAATGGATCGCTTTTGTTGATTTTACTCTTTGGATGTGAATTAATAAGGATATCTTCAAGTAAATTTTCATCCCTTACATTTTCTGGTTTTTTCTCTATTTTATCAGACTGTTTAATATCTTCTTTATCAACATTTTTATCACATTCACCAGCCATAATACTCGCATAGTATAAAATCTATAACTCATAAGTTTATTGATATTAATGTACGTAATATTTAACAATATAGAATACTTACCAAAATTTTGCTACGCATTGTGCAACAGTTAATTTAGAGATAAGTAGTATAATTGAAATAAAATGAATTTGGTTATTTTATGTATAACTCACAAATAATTACAATGATGTGATACTTACTCTCAAATTCAAAAAAAAAAGATATAATGAAATAGCAAAAGCTTTTAAGTTATAATTTTGGCACCAATATAATAGAAATATGTAGTTTTGTTTACCTTCATAGTTTTTGTAGCAAAGACAACAGCAGTCTCATCTTGGAAAGTTGCATCATATTCAGTAGATATTAGTTGGAACGTTATAGCTTCTTGGAGGCAGTGTAATATACGCCGCAAAGTGTTTTCAGATGACATTTCACTCCAGAATCTTGCAAGTTTTGCTTGTTCAGCCACTGGGAGTACACATGTGGCTGCTACAAGCCTAGGGATTATACGCTCTACAAATGCTAAGTCATCTAACCATGGCATTTCATAGATGATTTTGAGCGAATGTAACACATCTTCTAAATATTTATCACTGATTGGAAATGATTTTGACTTAAAAAAATGTAATTCTACCGTGATTTTTGCTAAATAAAAAAAATATGAATTGTACAATGGGCATAAAACACAGTTTTACAAATTATGATACTTACCACATAAGGAACTAATAGCTAAACAGAGAACATCTTTATAAAACTCATCATTATGGAGGGAATTCATTGTTTCATATGCTCGTGCTAACCCTGCTACATCTAATTGTTTTTCGCCATAATCTTCGTCTTCTTCTATCTCATCATCTCCATCTATTGAGTTATCATCCAACTCTTTTTCAATTTCCATTTCACGTATCTACACAAGTAAAAATTATGTTACATACTAGAATTTAACATATAAATAAATGAAGAAGATTAAAAAACCCACATTTTCTTTGGACATACTGGGGGATGAAGTCTTAGCATGATTATGAACTTTAAGCAAGTTTTTTCTGCGTTCTGGTGGGCGTTTTATAAAACTATTACCCAATGCCTCTGGTGTTGAGAATACTTGGTAGAGAGCAGATAGCAACTCATTATTATCTTTACAAGGATCAGGTCCTTTTTGATGGCTTGTTAGTTCGATTAAATTGGTTTCGGTTAAATATTTAATACCTGGAAACATTAAAAAATATTGATAAGTAACGTTTAAAATACACATCATGTTATTGCATAGACATTACACATGATACACTGAATGAAATTTCACACAGACATTCATAATATTACTAATCACACAATAGGTAGGAGGATTATCTTCACAAAAGTTAAATTCAAGACAAAGCATATACAAAGAAACTTATAATATCTGCTGTTGCCAAAATTTGTAAAATAACACGCTAAATAACTGAAACGCATGTATTGGATTAGAGCCAAGTGGTGAAAGGACCTTCAATATTTATAAACAAATCATAGTATGTGCACTTTGTCTAATATATGAAACAATTGTTGGCCAATAAATCAATAATATACCTATAATAATAGTAATTTTTTTCAAAATCAATTATGTAAGTAAATTTAGTGATAGATAGATATGAATTCAGTATACATAATTTTATAATATTATGTTAATAATAATAATAATAATAATAATAATCTGACATTGTGCCAGCCTATGCTATTAAAAGACTGTCTGTTGACCTTTTGCGTAGTATTTATGATTTTTTTTTAAATTCACACAAAGAACATGAATCAAAATTTGAATAAAAAATAACATTGACCTATTTTATTAAGACGAGCATCAATATATTGTCACACGTACTTAATTGTTTTTTAAAAATATTAAAAATATTATAAAATTACCATTTTGAAATGAGGCAATATGTTTTAAAGTTTTTTTCATAGTTTCCATGAAGGCTAAGTTTATGTCTTCTACATCATGCATAATACAATCTGGTATACTCAATGAAGCAACATCTAAGCGGTCCAAAATATCCTTGTTTACTGAATGATTTGTTGCATCATTTGGTTCACTAGGGCTTACAAGTTCATCAATACGTTTGAACACATTTTCAATAACTTCTTCTCTAGACCTTTGAGAAGATGTATCTTCTTCTTGTTGCGCCATAGAATCAACAATTGGTGCAATGAATGGATTGTGTTCTTTGGCCATAGGTTCAGCACTGGCTATTTTAAACGAAGATGAACTACTGCCACCTTTTGTTTGAGAACAAGTACTAGTGGTTTGAGTAATCTGAGCATCTGATAATGGTCTAGATAAGTCAATTGAATGTACAGGGATTACTTCAAATACTGTACATGGATGGTTTGTTTGAACACAAGCATCATGTGATAAACACAGGGTATCTTGGGTGTTGCTACAGCAAGCTAATGATGTATTGGCATCATGTAAAGAATTTCCAGACACTGATGGGTTATTAGTAGTTCTTGCTACTTTCATGGGATGCTGATCACACAATCTTGCATCAAGGCGAAATAATTGAATAGCGATAGCGGCTGCATCATTAGCTGACACCACATTAGTACACTGAAAAAAAAAAGGAATTGATAAATAACAATTAAGTAAAACATGT